AGTACGTACCAGCAGTAGGAGTAGTAGTTGTAGTCCTCGTCGTCGTTGTAGTAGTTAGTAGTAGCAGTAGCAGTAGAAGTAGCAGCAGTAGCAGTAGCAGCAGAACTACTACTGCTGCCGCTGCTGCGACTGCTGCTGCTACTCTGACTACTGCTTCTGCTCCTCCTCCTTCTCCTCCTGCTCCGGCTCCGGCTCCGGCTCCTGCTCCTGCTCCTCCTCCTCATCCTCCTCATCCTAGGACTACTACAACTGCAAGGGAGGCAACTACTACTTCTACTACGGCTACGGTTGTTGCTGCTACTGCGACTCCTATCACAATTACTTCTAGTAACTACCGCTTCAGCAATTATCGCGGCGACCACCACCACTCGGAAACCTCATTTCTCTCCTGGCCTGAACACGATGCCCATAAGTCGAAACCAGACTCTCTGCTGAAGCACGAGATCCCACAAGCCCCAGACCCGCACTGGACCCCAGAGTCCACTCTCAGACCTCTTAAACCAACACCCCTTGCCTCCCCGTTCCCAATCAGCCCATCCCAAGCTATTCAGACTGAGCTTGTAATTTCAATCAGTTGGGCACTCAAAAATTCGAAACCAACGCCGGCAAGACCCCTGCCCTGCCTGACCCTAGCCCTACAACCCTAACCTATGAGTTCCTATATAGAGGCTCTCGAAAAAATCCACCAAAAACAAGCCCAAGGAGCACCCCGAGTGCCTCGAGCGGAACATGGTCCGGACAGACTGCGCGGTCCAACCGTCAGCTTGGCGCCTTGAGTTCCACCTACGAGAGGTGCTGGCTTTTCGGGTGTACGTATTGGTTCTTCTGTTTGAGATATGCTTCATTTCTTTTGGGGCTCAGGTTGAAATAAGCGCTCAAGGGTTTAAGATTGCAGTTTGGGTTTTGTCGGTTTAGTGTTCAGGTTTGTCGTGTGTAGGATTCAGACCTCAGGCGTCCTGGAGGGAAGAGTCCGTCGGTTTGGGGGTTTGGAGCACTGAGGGATTTTAAGGATAGGTGCAAAGTAGCGGGAATCCTTGCGCAGACTGTCTCACGGTACTGGGTAGAGGAGTTCTTGGGTGTTTCTGGTACACTGAACCCTGAAGCTGTGTTGATTGTCATGTGAGTTAATGCGGGTGCTTGTTGGCTTTGAGGAGAACCATAGGTTGCGGCGTGTAGGAAGCTGATATTGACGAACCTAGAGTGATCTCTGGAAAGTTGGAGCATGGGTTTAGGATGGTTAGTGCTGGATCAGTTCTAGGCTTTGGGCATTGATAGGTCGTTTGCCACGCTTTAACAAACTCTCCCAAAGACAGGTTTTGCAGCAGGGTGTGGGGTTTGAGGCTTCTGGTTTGAAGGGGCCCAGGTGCAATTGGTTAGGTTGGAGGGATCTATATGGTGGTCATGTGGTGCTCTATTGGTCGCGCATTGCCAACTTGTCCATTGTCGGTGAGCAAGTGTTTATTAACCGGTACTAGCCCTATCTAGCCCTTAGACTATAACCCTTTTCGCAACAGTTGTAGTAGCCCTATGATCGGAACCCTGATAGCCGCTAACCCGTGCATCAGGGCTTGCTCGGTAGATGGATAATGAGTAGGAGCGGCGTTTTGCAGGGAATGGGGGTTTAGAAGCGGGCTGGGAAGAAAGACCGGCCGGCCTCTCGTCCCTAGACCCTGAACCGCAGATCTTAAACTTCCTCGCGAGCGCGCGCCGAAACAAAACTGTAATCCTAGACAGGCTCTTGCTGGCGCATATGCAGACCCATCTGCCACACCGGCAGTACGAGCTCGCTCGAGCACAGGACCGGCCACGAGCAATAAGGTCTCTATGTTTTGAAGCGTTGAAAGTAGGGTGTACATGTGTATGTATATATATATATATATGTATGGTCACCCCCCCCGTTGACAGACCATGCCCTTTCAACTCAGTCGTAGTGCATGGTCTGTGATCGGGGGGAGGGGGCAATCAGCTTTCAAAAACTCAATTCCAAAGTTTCCAAAATTCTCTCCCCTAACTTTCCAAAAATTCCAAAATTTCCAAAAAGTCCGCCCTTACGTTTTGGAAAAATTCTGTCCACTAGGTCGGGCCGTTTTGGAAATTTTGGAAATGTTGGAAATTTTGGAAATTTTGGAAATTTTGGAAGTTTTGGAAATGTTGGATTTTGGAATTTCTGGATCTCTTGGAATTGATTCTCAGGAGGGCTGATTGTGACCCATCCGATGACAGACCATGCACTACGACTCACTTGCAAAGGCAAGGGCTGTCAGTACTCATGCCCATATTTAGACGAATATCTCTCTATCTATCTATATATACATATATGTATTGATACTCCTACATATAGTAATTGCCATTGCTAGTACTGACATTGATCATTTGTTGAATGCTCAAGCCAATACCAGCTTTACTACTAATATTACACTTCTATCAAGCCTAGTACGAATATGCATAACACAAATACTAATATTGATTAGTATTGCTAGTAGTACTCCTACGCATATCAGTAACCATATTCATATTGATAATAGTGTATATTAATACCAATAATAACACACACCTGTATGTACTGATGTACATAAGAATATGCATACAATTACATTGAAATACAAATCCTTTAACTCACTCATGTATTCAATTGTTAGTATTTCCACGTGATCAAGAGTAATACTAATACAAACATTCTTGCGAATGTAGATCATCAATAATATTATAGTACTAACGCTAATACTACTGCTAATACTTAACACAATATTTATACTAACATCAATATGTACATATAGCTTTTCATACTCCTACGAATACGAATACGTAAACTCTTGTGCATTAACAGTCGTGCTATCACCAACACTAATACGGATTTTGATAATCTGCTGAATATTCAAGAATGTCACTAGTATTACCAGCATGAACACTCACATTATGGCTAATACGAGTATAAATAGTCCTAATTCTAATAATATTGACATTTATGCTCCTACGAATACCAATAGTATATTCATATTGATATGAAAACTAATATCATTACTAATAGACACCTGCATATACGAATGTACATAAAATACATACCACTATCCTAAGAAAAAGATATATACATTAGTGCATTCATGTCTTAATGCTTTGGCATAGGCTTATACCCATATACCAATGTAACAATATACTTCTCGCTGTTGTATGAACATACTATACTATACTAATATGTGACTATACAAATATACGACTACTGCAATATGCAAGAATACCGACATGACAAGTTCGTATACTAATATGCCAACATACTTATATACTTATAAATGATTAGACAGTACATGAATGTAGTACACATACTAGTATACTAATATGCTAACGTACGAATACACTGGTCTGCTAATATACTCGTAAACTAATACACCAATATACTAGTGTATTCATACACCAGATGTACTGACATGTAAAATATGCCAGTATACAAGAATGCAAATAGTTTACTGTTCGAATACATTGATGTATTGATATACTAATCTGCTAATATACGAGACTATCAATATACTAGCATATCAAAACTAACTAGTTCTAATATTGATACTAATACTAGCACTTCTGCGAATACAAGCTGCTATTGAACCCCGCGTTAAGACTGATATTTATACTACTCGTAGCAGTGGTGCTGTATTACTGACATTGACACTGGCACTAGTGCTAACTCTAACACGAACATGAGCACTAACACTAATTTATAGTTGGCAATATTGATACGTATACTTACAACAAACAATAGTACTAATATTAATAATAATTGCGAACGGACTGCGATGCCTTGTCAAGTTCTAAGGTGTCACTATAAGAGCTGTGAGCAAGACCGTGTAGAGTGCAAGAGAAGGGGGCACGCTACGCTTCCCTCGACTCTAGGAGTAAGCTTGTGGTCGTGCTACGCACACCGCATCGCTTCTCCTTACCTTTCTATGTGACCGCCCACGCAACGTTTGGCTCAAGTCAATGCCCATAGCTAAGTGCTATATGTGTCTTCTATCCTGAGCAATCAGAGCTATCCCGTGCACAGACGAACCGCCGCCGGCAGCGAGTGCAAAAGGAACGGCCGCCGGTTCTGCCTGCATAGGATTGCACGTGTGGAAGTGTGAGAGAGACAGGGTCCCAGTCTGTGGAGAGTGCAAGCCAGCCACACCTATATTCATTACAGCTCTGGTGGGGAGAGCAGCAACATCATCGAGATCAAAACCCCACGCAGGTTATCAGCCGTACGCGGCTCTGCCTTTCTGCAGCAACGACTACTTGATCTACTACGACCACAATGAACTCGGGATCAAGCCAAGATACGACAATGACTTTCGGTGCCGATGTGGCAGCGCCAGCCGTTGGTGAGTCAACAGCTGATGACACAGTGGTGCAATCTGTTGATAGCTCCACGGAAGATGACAAAGGTCAATCTTCTGCGCTTGCCATTGCAAAGGCAGTTCCCAAAGTGAAAGCAAAGAGTCTACCAAGAGCATCTACGCCTTCGCGTCCGACATCCACAGGTTCGAGGACGGGCAAGGCTCCAGAACGACGAGCCGAAGCGTCTGGTTTTCAGGCACCTCGGACTACGT